TCATTTTTCACTTTTTCCAACTACTTTTGAGTGTTCTGAATAGCCCGTCACCTAAATTACTGGAATCAACGTTCACCCGGCTAAAAAATTCGATTTTGACGAAAGTCGACTTTCCCCCTGTAAAAATCCAAGATCTGACACTTCGGCCCCAGGTGAAAAAAAAATTTTTCATTTTTCACTTTTTCCAACTACTTTCGAGTGTTCTGAGTAGCCCGTCGCCTAAATTATTGGAATCAACTTTTACCCGGCCGCAAAATTCGATTTTGACGAAAGTCGACTTTCCCCCTGTAAAAATCCAAGATCTGACACTTCGGCCCCAGGTGAAAAAAAAATTTTTCATTTTTCACTTTTTCCAACTACTTTTGAGTGTTCTGAATAGCCCGTCGTCTAAATTATTGGAATCAACGTTGACCCGGCTAAAAAATTCGATTTTGACGAAAGTCGACTTTCCCCCTGTAAAAATCCAAGATCTGACACTTCGGCCCCAGGTGAAAAAAAAAATTTTTCATTTTTCACTTTTTCCAACTACTTTTGAGTGTTCTGAATAGCCCGTCGTCTAAATTATTGGAATCAACGTTGACCCGGCTAAAAAATTCGATTTTGACGAAAGTCGACTTTCCCCCTGTAAAAATCCAAGATCTGACACTTTGGCCCAGGGTGAAAAATTTTTTTTTTCAGTTTTCACTTTTTCCATATACTTTTGGGTGTTCTGAATAGCCCGTCGCCTAAATTACTGGAATCAACGTTCACCCGGCTAAAAAATTCGATTTTGGCGAAAGTCGATTTTCCCCCTGAAAAAATCCAAGATCTGACACTTCGGCCCCAGGTGAAAAAAAAAAATTTTCATTTTTCACTTTTTCCAACTACTTTTGGGTGTTCTGAATAGCCCGTCGCCTAAATTATTGGAATCAACCTTCACCCGGCCGCAAAATTCGATTTTGACGAAAGTCGACTTTCGCCCTGTAAAAATCCAAGATCTGACACTTCGGCCCCAGGAGAAAAAAAAATTTTTCCACACGGTCACGTTTCTTCCCTAAGCGTAATGTTACAAGAAGTGATTTTCCGAAATTAATTTCTCACTGGGGTGCCCTGATGGAGGGATTAAGATTATTACTAACGTGTGGCTCAAACATGAACCTGGCATATGAGACAATACCAAAATCGCGGTGAATAAAGTGGGTTTTGGCTAAGCATCCTTAATGTCGCCCTTCCCACCTCGTTTCATCCCGCCGCTCGCGCCATGCCGTCCCATTTCGCTCAGTCTTTCGTCGTCCTTCGCGCCGCACGCACGTGCTCACCTCGCAGTGTCATTGTGCTCCGATCTTTTCATATTTCCATTCAAATCACCGAGTGAGTCGCATAATACAGTATCGATTCTGCCCCCTTTCACCCCATTCCCCTCATCGCCACTTATTTATGCGTCAACCCCTCATTTCGGAGGTATTCTCCTCGTTTTACGTGATGCCAATAGCATCGGAAAATTGCCGGCAGTGTTGTCAGGACATCCAGTCCATGTTACGCGGTTGTTGGATCAACAAGTTGTTGCCCGTCAAACGGTGAACCCTCCCAACTCTGTCAATTTCGTCGCGATTTATCATCCTCCCAACTCGGTTGATCTCATTGAATTGTGACTCAATCTCGAGAGATCTGCGTGGGATCCCCGGGCACTGGTAATTGGACCATTAATTCCATCCTTTAGCGTCGTAAATTTTCATAATCCTACGTCAAATAAAATTACTGTTACTGTTATTTGATTTTTCATTTAGTAACGTTGTCAACTCGGGGGAAATGGAAATTGTGTCCCTCGAAAGCTGATGCGAAGCTCTATAAACATCGCTATTTCGCTTTTATAGTTCTTCAAATAAAAAAAAATCTCTATCTGTATTTATCTAGAATTACTGCGGAATACGAGTACGCAATCACTTTGACAATTTCAGTGCTGCACTGGGAGAAGAATTGAATTTTCTCAGCAATATTTTTACTTTTTTTGAAGGATTTTTTGTGAAATTAAATTCACTCGGCGAAATGGTTTATTTAAATTGAATAAATGTGTTTGCCTTTTTGTTTGAGTAAAGCGAAGGGTTTGTTTTATGCAAATTAATGTTTCGTGAATTCAATAAGATGATTGTGTTTCAGGGGAAAATTATGAATTCATTAACACGTGATAATCATTTACTTTGGAATGAATGAATCATTTGTTTAATTGAAGTGCAACATTCTTATTGAAATAACAATATCGATTCAACAATTATTAATGAAACTATTGTTGAAATGAGCAAACAAATGGAAATGAAGAATCTTATTTCATTCAAATGTTTTGACATTCAACATTAACATTTTGAGTAAAAAAAACCTGAAATATATTTATATTTTTGTCTAACGAAAATTATTTATTCCAATTCAACAAACTTTGGGGGAACCAAATGAGAACATTTCATTCAAACTGGAATTTGCTTTTTCTTCGCGTTTTTATTCACATAAAACACAGGAGTTCATTAATTCCCCCAAAAAATCATCAAAATCAATTTAAAAAACCCAAATGAAGCGTTTCATTTTCCGCAGATGCATCATTCCCCTGGGTTTAAACATTCCCCATTAACGTTCGCGCAAAAAACCTTGAAATAAACTGCATTACACCATCACCCGATGAAAAAGACGTCCGACATCTTGTGTAACTCGAAGGTGGAAATTTCCTTCGAGCCAATCCACTCGCTCACCCCCTGTGTCTCCAGATAATTGAATTTCACTGATTAAAATTCACTCCTGAAAGTAAATTACCATTCTCACATCTCCCTGAACCCTAAGCACATTATTAATTGACCTTTAGAAGCCAATGGACCGTCGGAGAATGATCTTTCAGCTCAATCGTGGACATTTACTTCAGTGAAGAATCGAACGAGCTTTCCGATAGTTGAAACAGGGAAGTGGATTGATAGGGACCTTTACGTTTTTTTTCCACCCCTACCTCTGTGTTGACATTTTAATTAATGAAGTAAAGTCACTCAATGCCACGTGCAAATAGTACTCCTCTGGTGAACAGGGGTGTCTTTTTCATGCCCCCCCCCCTCCGCCCCTAGTAACTGGCTACTCTGTTGTGTGTGACGTCAATGGGCATTTGCGCAACAATTTGTCGTGTGGGTATCGGCACAGTCTTGGCTGACGCTATAACAGCGCGTTTAATGCAAAATGTTTGTTAATTTCATTATTGAAAGAGAGTGGAGGACGCCTGGCGAAACACTGCCAACGTTGTTACCGGATTTTTCCGACAATAATCAATCTCCATTTGGTATAATTGAGGGAAAAAACGGGGGGTGCATTGATATTCATTATCGGTTAGATTGAATTCAATTTCACGGTAATGGAATCTATTCATTCTCTCGCGCCATCCACAGGGCTTTGATTTAATTTGATCACCTCGCGAAATGGTGAAACGTTATTTAATCCTGATTTTAAAAAAAGGGCGGGGGTGAATAATCTTGAATGTTTTGTCCAATTTTCTAGTGATTTTTTCATTATTTTATGGAGAATATTGATGAAACCTGCGGGTTTTAGGTTAATTATTCAGTGGAAATTCAGGGAATTCGGGGAAATGTATCATTGAATTATAGGTGCATTGGAAATTCAGTTCATTTTAGTAGTAAATGGTCACAACCAGATGAATAGTCCATTTGGGTGGAACTCAAATGACGCATTCAGACCTGAACTTGATTTTTACTTTTATTCACATCTAATAAATAGTTTTGTGAATATCAATAAATGCTTCAGTTTAATTATTCAGTGCAAATTCGGTAAATTGAGGTGA